ATGTAAGAGTTTGATGTCATGATATGGATAGACAAGTAAGAAAGAGAGGAGGCTGAGTTACAAAAAGCCTTTCACTAGATGCTTAGTCCTTTCAAAATTAAGTGCATCATTCATATCTACAATTGGTATAAAATTTAAATTAAACCCATAATTTACTTCCACTTTCACACACGTGTAACACATCATTTTAATAAATGCTCTATCAACTCTATTTGTCCAATTCAACGGAAACAAGTTCGAATTTTGTAGCAGCCTAAAAGGCAACAAAAAAGACAAAATTGCATCCTTAGCTCATACAACAAGCTAAAAGCTCCACATCACCACCGAAACCATATTTATATAACCTAGATGCTACAAAGACGAAGATGATCCCTAAATATCACATTTCTAGTTCAGCTCATCCCCTTTACACAAAACTCTTGATATAAATACCTAAATCAGGGCAGTACAGATGATCAACAAAAATAAATGAAAATTCATAAAGCAATTAACCAGCTATAACAATATAAGATGAGTACCAAAACGGAAATCACTAACAATCTATAAGTTCACATATTTCGTTTAAGATTGTAAAATCTCACATCATTTATTCCAAAAAGGCCAAAACTAAGCACAACAAGAAGTATAAATTAAAAGTAAATGTGAATCCGAAAAGACAGCAAACCAGCAGAAATGGAAACAACATGAACAACACAAACGTAATTAATAACACAAACATAATCCCTAAAATCTTTCATAGTTAGCAACATTTATGATTTCCCACTGTTGTTATTCAGCATAACAAAATCATAAAGGCGATGAAATAAGAGTGAAAATCTGTAAAGCAACAAAACAAAACAAGCACCAACATCCATATCACTAACACAAACATAATCATAAAATTCACACTTCTCGTTCAATTTCACTACTTTTCACAGCATTTTTACTCCAAAAACCCTAAATTCAGCAGAATAACACATATATCATAACATGGTGTAAAAACGAGTGAAATTCGACTATCCAGCAGCAACAAAAACAACATGAACACCAAAGTCGCAATCACTAACACAAACATGATCCCTACAATTCACCATTCTCGTTCCATTTAGCTACATTCTTACTCCAAAAACCCAAAATTCGGAAAAATAACAAATAATTCATAAAAATGTTGTAAAGCAACAAAAACAACACAAACACAAAAACCGCAATCACTAACACAAACATAATCCCTAAAATTCACAATTCTCATTCAATTTTGCTACATTCTCTCCGAACACCCTAAATTCAGCAGAATAACACATAAATCATAAATGATGTAAAAACGAATGAAATTCAATTAAACACCAGCAATAAAACAACATGAACAACCTAATCACAATCACCAACGCAAACATGATCCCTAAAAATACACAATTCTCGTTCCATTTCGCTAAATTCTTACTCCAAAACCCTAAAATTCAGCAGAATAACACATAATAATTCATAAAATATTGTAAAAAGGAAAGAAATTCAACTAACCAGCAGCAACAGGAACAACATGAACACTCGAATCACGCATTCGAATCTCATCAAACTCAGCATCAATCATAGCCTGAAGCTTCTCACATTCTTCCTTAGCCAATTTCGCTTCTTCACCTCCCTCAGCAACCGCCGAATCATTCACGGCAGCCATAGAAGTCTCATCTTTCATAGCATTAAGAGCAGAAAAGATGGCGGCATTGTTATCGGACAACTGCCGAGCTCTGGTTAACGGACCGTTGTGGATCGGAGGAAGGAGAGAGAAGAATCCGCCGGAAGCGGCGGCTGCTGCGGCGGCGGCTTTCTCACGAGCGTGGCGCTTCGGAGGCGCCGATGATGAAGTGTTGGTGGATTTACGCTTTTGGTTTCGGCGGCGAGGAGCTGGTGGTTCGGTCGCCGGAGAATCGCCGGATTTAGCGGACGATGCGGCGGGAATTGCCGGCGCCGGTGACGGAGATCCGGCTTCTTGGCGTGGTTTGTCTTCCATTTTGGTGAGTCTCTTTTTTCTCTCCCCCTGGTTTGTTCAAGGGTTTTGTTGGGGGAGGGAGTGTGACTGTGAGTATGAGAGTGTAGTTTTGAAGTTCTTCTTTGGGAGTATGGTTTAACAAATTGTGATTAATGTAGAAAATAAAATTAAAATTTTATTTTTTAAAAAAAAACAAAAAAACAAAAAACAAACAAACTCTTTATAAAATCATGGTAGATGTCTAGAAGTCTAACATGTATTCTCAAATCTCAAATTTGTACTCAATGCAGTGTTATTTCGTTTAAGCTGCATTGTGAAGGATTTTTATTTGATTGACCTGAGAAAGTTTGTATTAACAATGGGTGTTTTGGAAACTTGGATTATCTCTGTGTCGAACCAAAGGCTTCAACCCTAAATTGTCTTAGCATTGAATGTTATAATTTATATTTCACTTAGAAGTTACTCTTTATTTTGAGATATGGTGAATGATTCTTCGTGTTTTAACTATACAACTCTATTTTACAGAGTACTATTCGAATGCCATGCAACTACTATATCATCCTTATAAAGACTTTGAAATCAAATTCGCAGTTCAACAATTGTTTACACCGCAATCAACTGATCATAATACCCATTTATTCGTATCATACCCTTTCAGTTTATTTGCCCTAAGAAAAGGCAAAATGCAATGAAAATATTTTTGGTGTTTAGAGAGCCACAAAGGGCGAGGGTGAGAATCGATCCCAGGATCTCCTGGAATCGGGAGGGAAGCTCTAACCACTTGAGCTATACCTCACTCTCGCAATGAAAGTATTGTGTGTATGTGGGAGTAATATATATTCTCATCTAGAAATATATTGTATGAAGATAACTCAAAAGGTAAACAAATTTAGGGGATAGATTGAGTATAAGGGCATTCAACCATTTTGGTATATTAAGATATATATGACCGTGATACTCTACCCTACTTTCTTATCAAATTGCATTTTATCGAGCATGTAATGATTACTTTTTTAAAATCTCTTTTTTGCGACTTTTATTCCATACATTGTAAATCACTAAATCTATATGCTGGTATTTTATTATTTCCTCTCCCTTTGTTTCAAACAATTCTTCACTAATTAAAGGGAAAGATGTGTAGCAACTACTGAGTAATAGATAGGAAAAATACTATCATATACAAGTTTGAAGGAAAAACATCCAAGGAAAGACCAATTGTTGTCCTTCTTTGAAAAATCAATGGGAATTCAACCCCGGCAAAATAATATAAACAAAGTATGTTTCCCCCGGGCTCCCAATATATTATTTCCTTTGCCATCAAATAATTGTATTGTATGCTATATTGGTTTGTCAACAAATGAATGTTGTATTAACTTAGCTTAAACAGTAGTTCACCTTATTATTTACTTATCTTATATTATTTCCTTTGCCATCAAATAATTGTCTTGTTGTTTAGAATAAATCACAAAGATAAGTTTAGATATACTTTATCGTTTTATATGCGGTTATTTATTATTTTAATATATTCAATTTTGTTACTCCACTTGGTACATTTTTTCTTTATTGATTAGCATACATATGAGGTCAAAGTTGAGTAAAATTAGATAATCAGATTAGATTAGAAAAAGTAAATTCATAAATATCAAATCACATAAGTAAAAATAAAGTAAATTAAACATGACACAAGTGTGCTCCGCCAATGTATGTAAAATAGACTCTAAAATTTTATGAGTTTAGTTTTGAAATAAAAGCTAAAATGTTATAGCATCCACAATGATCGAATCACAACTATTGTAACTTTGTTTGCTATGTCAAATCTTTAAATTACAATGTTTTCAAGCCATAGCCTCTCTTACTTAAAACTAACTACATCTTGATCAGTTTTATTGCAACTCTCAATACAAGTTTTTTTTTTTTTTTTTGACAAAAGAGCTATCAAAGAAAAAAAAAAAAAACAACAACATAAATAAACAAACTGCAACTGAAAAAACAACAACTGCCGACGCCGAGCGCAACCAGCTAACTAGTGAGCCTGAGAAACCCAGGATAGAGGAACCTTACGAAGTTGACACACCAAAAACGACTCAACAGTCACCCGCAATTCTAGAGTGAGCCACCAAACCGAAATGTTTACTGGACCTGAATTCGAAAGCAAAGAAATTAAAGAAGGGCTGCATAATCTGAATGAATTCGAACCTTCAAGAATCCTTCGTGAACCGCTGCCTGAAGTCCCCATAAACAAGCGTGTAGCTCAGACTGTAAAGCCAACCCAGACAAAAAAGCCCTACTACCTTCACCTAGAACCTCCGGAGAATAAAGGTCACAAATGACCTATCCTGCCCTAGCCCTACTAGTGGAGCAATCCCAAGCTCCATCGACGATCAAACAAATTGTGGGGCATATGTCAGGTAGTCCCCTCAAACACAACCATGGATCACCTGAATGCACAAGCAAACTAAGCATGTATGATCCCAATACGGTGGTCTTTCAATCCTGGGACTGGACACAACGATTGAACCAATCCTAAGCCAAACCTTCAATTTTCCTGGGCGATCGAACTGCCTGTCTGAACCTTAACTGGTTCCGGGAAAGCCAAATGGCCCAAAAGAGAGCAAATAACACTAGTAGAAAAATACAAAAAGGCAACCCCCAATGGGCAGGGATTTAGACCAAGAACAATGGCACCGGTTCAGCTCAAACCGGTGCCAAAAATATAAAGGCTACCGGTTTGAACCGGTGCCACTGAACCGTTGCTCCAAAAAAAAAACGGCCTTTCCTTTATATATATACACCCTAATATAACCTAACCTACCTCCTTCTCTCTCCTCATTCTCTCTCCTCGGCGCTTCTCCTTCTCTCTCCTCTAATCTCGATCCGCTTCACCTTCTTTCTCCTCTGATATAGATCGCGCGGCGCCGACGTTCCTCTCCTCCCCTCCTTCTCTCTCCGACCTCTCTTCTTTGTCCTCTCTCCCTTCTCTGTCCTCTCTGTCCTCTTCTGTCTCGATCTCCGACCTCTCTTCTGTCTTCTGCCCACCACCGCCGCCGCCACCAAGTCCACTTATTTTCTGGTCAAATTTGAGGTTAGTGCATGTTTCTGGGTTTAATTGGTAAGGGTTTCTGGGTTTAATTATTTATGTTATATACCTTAATTTTTTTGGGTTTGATTGTTGTAATATTGTTCAAAATTGATTGGTGTAATTATAATTCATTGCCTTAATTTTTTTGGGTTTGATTGTTGTAAATTTGCACTTAATTGATTTTTCGAAATTTCTGGGATTAATTGATTTTCGAAAGTTTTGGGGTTAATTGTTTTTCTTGGTTAATTGATTTTCGAAAGTTTCTGGATTAATTGATTTTTGAAAGTTTTGGGGTTAATTGATTTTCGAAAGTTTTGGGGTTAATTGATTTTCGAAAGTTTTGGGGTTAATTCAATGTTTGTGCGGTTTTCTGGGTTTTCTATATTGATTTTCTCTTTCTCTTGCATGCATGAGTTTTCTGGGTTATTGTATCTTGTTTTTTTTTTTTTTTTTTGAGTTTTAATAATTTCTGGGTTATTATTGATGCAGGTGTTAATTCATGCAACAATTCAAGGATTCAAGACTTTTTTTTGGAATATTGTTTTGATGTTGTAATTTTTTTTTTTATTGTTTTACAATTTCAATTTCTGAGTTGAATTTCATTATAATTCATTGTAACTTTTTAATTTTTTTTTTGTATTGTACAATAACAATTTACTTGAATATAATGTGATTTACAATTGTTTTGATGTTGAATATAACAATTTTGATCAAGACTCCGTATTTTACCATTTTGTTTGGTTCGTATTTCTGATGTTTGTTAACTTGTTTGTATATTATTTTTATTATTATTGCAAGAAAAAAAGTTAAAAAAAAAAAAAAAAAAACCAAAAAGGCACCGGTTAACCGGTGCCTTAAAGAGCTTCCACTAAAAAATAATATTTCGCGGAACTATTTAAGGCACCGGTTAACCGGTGCCAAAACCTGTTTATGGCACCGGTTTTGGACCGGTGCCAAAAAGGGGGGTATTTGGCACCCCCCACATAGGCACGGGTTCAAACCGGTGCCTTAGGCCGGGTTTGAACCGGTGCCAAATGCGTTTTTTCACGTAGTGTAAAGCCATAATACCCTTCCAAAATTTGTGAGAACAGAATCGAGAAACGGTGTCAACCAGGCAATCCCCGAACGGCTAGAACTGCCAAAGATCCCAACAACCCCCAATGTTGTCAACCGCCATAAAGATCTTATAGCAGGGTAGTCTCTAAAGGTGTGCGACACCTCCTCCCACTCTTGATGGCAAAAAGCACATATCGGGTCAACCGGACATCAGGTCCTGCCAAGTGTCCCTCAGTTGGAACTGTCAGGGCTTGCCACGTGGCACCGCTTATTCGTCCACCTTGGACCTATTATGTCATGACACGTGGCATACTCCATGCCTAATGGAGAAACCGGCCACCCAGGCCCAACTTCCGAGGGAAGCCCAATCAGCCCAAGGTTAACCTAAACCTAGGATTGGCACGCTTCTCAAAGACTATAAATACTTAATTAATCCTCATTAAAGGGGATTAAGCAATTAAACACTCTCACCTAGAGAGACCCAATCACTTTAATTTCCGCATTAATTACTCCTTAATCAAGTACTAACTTGACCGTTGGAGGCGGATCTCCACCACCGGAGTCTCCGTTGTTTTGCAGGTACAGGCGTCCGGTTCCAGTCTCGGAATTGTAACTCTCCCGCAGGACATCAGAAAACCCCGAAACATTTGGCGCCGTCTGTGGGGAGAGTACTTCTGAGATGGCATCCACGTCTTACCGACTCCTGAAGAGAGGCGTCCCCTAGACGACCCTCAAGTTCAGTCGGACCACGATACTGAGAATGAATTTGAAGTTGAAGCTCACACAGCTTCAGACGGGACCCTAAGGGCCCGACGTACCCGTCATACCGAAAGGAGGGAACGGGAACATCTTCATACAGGAAGCGAGCCAGCAGGCGCACCGCCTGTTCGGCAGCAGCCGACTGATGGGTCTGCTCCCATCACAAGGAACGAACTCATGACCTTCATGAGGGACTTCAAGGGAGAAATTCAAGAGTTGATCAACAAGAAGCCGCCTGCTCTGGACAAGGAGCAGTCGGCTAAGAAACCCTCCACTTCACAGAAGAGGAAGCCAGTTCAAGGGCGAGAGGCGACTCCTCATCCTAAATCTAGGAAGCGGGAGCCGACTGCCTTTGATTTCACAAAATACCGTTTTCCTACTCCAGGAAATAGGAAACCTGTTCGTCATATTCAGGCGGACGGGTCGAGGAAAACATACACAGACGCTCGGCTACTGCTAGAGCAGAAGAAGAGTGACCGATTGTCAGAGTCGGCCTCTACTTCAAACTTCCAAGACAGTCTGCGAAATACCTCGATGAGGCATACTCAGTCGTATCATGAGAGTCAGTCAGGCGGCACCTCCCGTCAGTCCGGCTATCATAGCGACCAGGCGGTACCAAACTTACCATTTTGTACCGCAACAACAGTATTTCTTAACAGCCACCTCCGTTTGGTGGACATGCAGCAAAAAACGTCCAACCTATGGACTGGCAGCTACGGTTGCTTAGACTTGGCGAACAGCCGTCGGCCTTCTCCAAGGAAATTACTGAAACCGCTCAGCCGGCCAAAGTGAAAAATGTATTAGTAGGCGCCTATGACGGCACTACTAACCCAGAAGACCATCTGATGGCATTCACCAACCTGATGTACCTTCAAGGGTTGGATGATCCCACTTGGTGCAAGTGTTTTCCCAGCGACTCTCAAAGGAATCGCACAACAATGGTTCGGCAACCTGCCGACTGGTTGTGTAAATAGCTTCAGGACGCTTGCTTACTTATTCACCTCCAACTTCGCCATGAACATCCCTGCGAAGAAGACGACCCTTGACTTAGGAACAATTCAGCAGGGCGAGAAGGAGGGGCTTCGTTCTTACATCAGGCGGTTTAACCTGATGAGAATACAGATTCAAGGGTTACCGGATGAAGTAGCCTATACTGACTTTTTCAGAGGTCTCAAAGACGGGTCGACCGTTCAAATTTGATTTGGTCCACAAGAGGGTGGCGACTCTTCAAGAGGCCTTGATTGAAGCGAAAGCCTATATACAAGCGACTGATCTTTGTAGTACGGTAAAACAGTCAGACGGGAGAAGGTCCGACAAAAGAGAAGGACGACAGAAACAGTCGTCAAACAAAGACGAGAAGAGAAAAGAGGTATGGGCGGCTGATTCCTCTAAACAGCCGGCCTAGAAAAAGAAAAAAGAATTCAAACCATACTCCCCAAAGTATGCGTTTAACAAGGATAGCCAATTTATCCTAAAGGAAATCAAGGGACGAATCTCAATTGAGAAGCCGGTCCCCATGAAGGGTTCTGCAAACTATCGGAACCAAGAAAAAATTCTGTGATTATCATGAAGATGTTGGTCATCACACCAATGATTGCATCAGTCTCATGCGGTATCTGGACCGCTGGCTGAGCAAGGTGATCTTGACACTTATGTCAAGAAATCTACGGGGAACACTTCCTCGAAAAAGCAGTCGGCCAAAAAGAATCAACAGGCCGACAACTCCGATACAGATGATGCAGTCGTCTACACCATTGCAGGCGGCTTCTCAGGAGGCGGCCCCACTATTAGGGGCAACAAAGACAATATCAGGCGGTTAGATGTAAATTCCGTTCACCAAGAACGACCCTCCAAATATTCATTTCCTGAGATTGTCATCACTGAAGAAGATCTAGGAGGGGTAAGAGGGCCGCATGACGACCCTATAGTTATTGAATGTAAAGTGGCCAACCAGAGAGTTGGCCGAATCCTCATAGATACCGGAAGCTCCTCAGATCTCATCAGTAGCAAATGTCTGTCGAAACTAAAATATCAGACTGATTGCATACATCCGGCATCCCACCCTTTAGTAGGGTTTGGAGGAGGAGTCGTCCACCCAGTGGGACGAGTGGATTTACCCATCCGCCTGGGCGAAAAAGGGGAAGGACGACACATGGTAGTCCGGTTCTTGGTAGTAAAAGAACTCTCGGCCTACAACATGATTCTGGGACGACCAACCCTGAATAATTCCAAGGCTGTTATAATCCCATCTCTTATGTTGCTCAAGTTTGAGAGGGATAATGGAACAGTCGGGTCCCTAAGAGGAGATCAGAGGATGGCCCGAGAGTGCTATCTCTCGATGTCAAGCCCACTGTTATGGCCACTGGGTCGAGTGGTGGAAAAATAGACCTTGACAATGTCAAGGAGAGTGCGCCTGTTCAAGAAGCAAGCGGCAAGAAGAGAAAGGCGGCCCAGACGGGGGCCGCAAGAAAAGACAGAAAAATAGCAATCATTGGCAGAGGAGCGGTCGGATGAATTCCGCCCTCAGCCGACTGGTGAGCATACGGACTTGATCTTAGACGACTCACGTCCTGAGCGAACAGTCAAAGTTGGGATGACTGCTCTGAGAGACCTTGGTGACGACTTTCACAAACTATTGAAAGAATACAAGGACATCTTTGCATTCGAAGTCCATGAAATGCCAGGCATTAGTCCTGATCTGGCGGTACATAAACTGGCCGTGGATCCGAAAAAGAAGCCGGTACGGCAGAAGAAGCGGAACCATGGCGAAGAAAGAAGTCAGGCGGCAGCCGCCGAAGTTAAAAAATTACTTGATGCAGGGTTCATTCGGCAATGTTACTTCCCAGACTGGGTTGCAAATGTGGTGCTTGTTAAAAAGCCGAATGGTACCTGGCGAATGTGTGTAGACTACACAGACTTAAACAAGGCGTGCCCCAAAGACAGTTACCCTCTGCCTAAAATTGATAACCTGGTCGACTCAACAGCCGGCCATGCTTTAATGAGCTTTATGGACGCCTACTCTGGTTTCCATCAAATTCCTTTATGGAAGAAAGATCAGGAGAAGACGGCCTTCGTCACTGATCAGGGGTTATACTGTTACACGGTCATGCCGTTTAGTCTTAAGAATGCCCCGGCCACTTTCCAGCGAATGATAAACACTGTGTTCTTTGATCAAATTGGGAGAAATGTCGAGGCATATATTGATGATATGATTGTCAAGTCAAAACTTCAGAAAGATCATCTGTCGGACCTCCGAGAAACTTTCGCCACACTCAGGCGGCACCATGTCATGCTCAATCCCAAGAAATGTGTCTTTGGAGTTGAGTCTGGGAAATTTCTCGGATTCCTTATCAATCAGAGAGGAATAGAGGCGAACCCTGAGAAGGTGCAGGCGGTCATCGACATGCAGTCGCCTCGTACCATCCGAGAGGTTCAGAAGTTAACAGGTTGTCTGGCGGCCTTGGGAAGATTTCTAAGCCGATCAGGCGACAAATGCCTATACTTTTTCCAGGCAATTAAGAAAAAGGCAAGGTTTGAATGGGGGCCGGATGCTGAGGCCGCCTTCCAGAAATTGGAAGTTCACTTGCATTCCTTGCCGAGGCTGGTCAGCCCTTTGCCCAAAGAAGTACTCTACATGTACCTGACCGTCTCTGATCATGCGTTAAGCGCTTTTCTCCTTGCTGAAAGAGACGGCTGTCAGCTCCCGGTCTACTTTGTCAGTCATGTACTGAAAAATGCCGAGTTGAGGTATCCCTTAGTGGAGAAATTTGGTCTTGCACTCTTCATGGCTGTTAAAAAATTGAAGCCCTACTTTTTGGCACATGCAGTCGTCGTGTATACAGACCAACCTATCAAGCGGCCACTGACCATCATG